AACAACAACAACAACAACAATCTTTACAGAAGCAGATTATCTTTCTCCCATGGAGCAGCTAATGGGGTTTGAACCACTGACCTTTCAGTTAGCAGTTGAATGCTTAACTACAGTGGCACCAAGGCTCCTTATACTGAAGTAGGGTGGATCCTAATCCAAATCCCTTCAGAGTGATATTATAAAAGGAGAGTCACACACAGGGAGACACAGCATGTGAGGATGCTTGAGCATTCACAAGCCAAGGAACACCAAGAAATGCCCAGAGCTGCAGAAGCTAAGAGAGACAAAGAAGGATCCTCCCCTAGAAGTGACAGCAATTAGTGCTGACAACTCCCTGAATTCAGACTTCTAGCCTCCAGAGTTATGAGAAAATATGTTTCAGTTCTTTAGGGAAAGCTATTTTGTGGTATTTTGTTATGGCAGCCCTAACAGAGACAGTAACTATCTAGGGCAGAACATGAGATGGAAAGTTGGTATGAGATGTTTCACAGAATGAAGGAAAATTAGAGTTCATTGTCTGTAGCATACCTCAACCAGCTTCACCTATCACCTTTCGGCAGACAATCTCACCTCCTACTCCACAGGGACAACAGAGGCCATCAGACACAATCTCTCTCAACTTTTTCCCTTCTAAATGATCTAAAAACAGAGCTCATCCTTCCTCATTGCCCTGCAGCAGGTGAGAAGTCTGCTCATACAGACACTCTCCCCACCCTCCTTGCAGGCTCCCAACCCATGTTCCCTGCCAGCATCTCCTGCCTGCATGCTCTCACTCTTGTCTATCATTGCCAAATTCTTAGCAGTATAGCTCATATCTTCCCTCCATCAACCACTATTCTCACCTCAGTCCAATTCCTGTCCTGTTATGCTATTGTTAGGTGCTGTTGAATTGGCTCTGACTCATAGAGACCCCATGTACAACAGAATGAAACACTGCCTGGTATGGTGCCAGCCTAACAATCCTTGCTATATTTGAGCCCATCACTGCAGCCATTGTATCAATCCATCTCATTGAGGCTCTTCCTCTTCTTCACTGACCTTCTACTCTACCAAGCATGATATCCTCCTCAAGGGAATAGTCCCTTCTGACAACATGACCAAAGTAGGTGAGATGAAATCTGGCCATTCTCACTTCCAAGGAGCATTCTAGCTGCACTTCGTCCAAGACTGACTTGTTCATTCTTCTGGCAGTCCACGATACTTTCAGTATTCTTTGCCAACACCACAACACAAAAGCATCAACTCTTCTTTGGTCATCCTTAATCATTGCCCAGCTTTCACATGCATGGCTTGGTGAAGGCATACCTTTGTCTTCAAAGTGACAACATTGTTCTTCCACACTTTAGAGAGGTCTTTTGCAGCAGATTTGCCCAGTGCAATACAATGTCTGATTTCTTGACTGCTGCTTTCATGGGTGTTGATTGTGGATCCAAGTGATATGAAATCTTTAACAACTTCAATCTTTTCTCCATTTATCATGATGCTGATTATTGGTCTAGTTGTGAGGATTTTCATTTTCTTTTACGTTGAGGTGTAACCCATACTGTAGTCTTTAATCTTCATCAGTAAATACTTTAAGTTATCTTCACTTTCAGCATGTAAGGTTGTGTCATCTGCATATCACAAATTGTTAATGAGTCTTCCTCCAATCCTGATGCTGCGTTAGTTTTCATATAGTCCATATTCTTGGATTATTTGCTCAGCATACACATTGAATAAGTATGGTGAAAGCATACAACACACCCTTCCTGATTTAAAACCATGCAGTATCCCCTTGTTCTGTTGGAATGAGAGCCTCCTGGTCTATGTACAGGTTCCTTGTGAACACAATTAAATGTTCTGGAATTCTCACTCTTCTCAATGTTACCCATAATTTCTTATGATCCATACAGTTGAATGCTTCTGCATAGTCAATAAAACATAAGTAAACATCTTTCTAGTATTTGCTTTGAGCCAAGATCCATCTGACATCAGCAATGATATCCCTTGTTCCATATCATCTTGTGAATCCAGCTTGCATTTCTAGAAGTTACCTCTCAATATACTGCTGCAACCATTTTTTAATTATCTTCAGCAAGATTTTACTTGCATTTGATATTAATGATATTGTTCGATAATTTCCACATTCTGTTGGATCACCTTTATATGGAATAGTTACAAATATGGATCTCTTCTAG